AAAGAAAGAAAAAAGAAAGAAAGAAGAAAAAGAAAGAAATCAATTTAGAAAGAAATAAGGGCGGAGAAATATAGACTGAAAGAAAAGAAAAAGACAGATAGAAAGAACAAATATTAGAAAGAAATAAAAGAGGGGAAAGGGGAAACATTAAGAAAGAAAGAAATAAAGAAATAAAGAAAGAAAGAAAGAAAGAAAGAAAGAAAGAAAGAAAGAAAGAAGGAAAACGAAAATGGAAAATTCAAACAAAGAAATGGAGATTTATTAAGAAAAGGCGCATCTTTGAAACTTCTGCGAAAGACATTTGTGTGCTGGGGATTATGCTATGGTTAACGAGCCTGGTGGTTTGAAAATAGAGTGAGAAAAAGAGAAAGATAAAAAAAAAAAAAAACACCGAAAGAAAGAATAAAAGGTATATATTGCAAACGCATGAGGGAAAGCTCATAAAACGTAATCTGACTTAGTTAAATATTTATCGTTTGTTCAACCTCTTCGACCCAATCAAAACAACCTAAGCAATGGTTGTCATGATAATAAAAGGGCGTCTCAAAAGTTTTCGTCGTCTCCTTCTGTGAAATAAAAAAACAAAAAAATAGAACATTAAGTCAGAGTAATTTTTTTTTTTTTTTTTTAAGCATTGTGCCCCCCCCCCCCAAGCAAGGCGTGAAGCCACTAGGATGCAAGGGGTTTGGAGCGAGAGCAGATAAGAGTGATAGGAAAAAGGAAGAGGAGGAGGATAGTGGGTAGATCAAGGTAATTGGAGATGTCGATTGACATTACATTTGAATAGTTGGAGATTATAGCTTTCAGGGAAACAGTAATTGGGGAGGGTGTTCCACTGGCGAGAGGTGCGAGGTATGAAGCTATTGGAGTATAAGAGACGGCTACATTTGAAGGTTTCTACGGTGTATGGGTGAGAGCGGGATGCCAGCCTCGTAGGGCGCTTGAATTCATGGAGTCTGGGAACCAGAGAGAGCAGCTCATCAGAGCAGTTACCATGGAAGTATTTGTAGAAAAGACAGAGAGAGGCGACGGCCCGTCTGTGAGAGAGTGACTGCAAGCAAGACGCTAGATCAGGGCCAATTAGATTACATATCCAATTACTTACTTCATGTAAACAGCATAATATGCTTTCTGAAACCAAGGCGCACGTAGACAGATATTACAAAAATAACAAGTATTCATGTTTAAGGATAATTCATGTACAGTGCTACTCCTGAATTTGGGGGTGAAAAATCTGTTTTTTTCATATAGCTCGTATATAATATGTGCAATAATATTTACCCTACCGTAGTCAAATATTGGAGAAGAGGGCATCGTCCCGGACAAATTTTAGAACAAATAGTCTTTATTTAGTTTTTTTTTTTTTTTTTAGTTTTTTTTAATGGTAATGATAATGGTAACATTGGCCGTTTCTCTACAAGGAAACATTTGGCATTCATTGACCGAGCAGCCAGTAAAGTTTTCGGTTAAAATTTATAAAATCTTAAAACATTTTTTCAGGAAGATAGATTTCTCAAATTCAGTAGCTGTTATCACTCTTTCCAGTATCGATGGGGAGTTTCCTTCCTAACCTTTAGTTTGAATTAGTGTGGAATATCAAACATTAGGGTTTACTTTCTTACGCAACAGTTTTATAAGATCGTCTTTCTTTCTATGTTAGATGTTATATCTTTGTTACGGCCTATATCAAGGGTAATAATAGCTGTTTTCTATCAAGAAATATTTAGCATTCACTAACTGAGCAGATAGTACCGTTTTCGGTGAAAATCTATAAAATCTTAAAATATTTTTTCAGGAAGATAGACTTCTCAAGCTCAGTAGCTGTTATCGCGCTTTTCAGTATCGATGGCGAGTTTCCTTCCTAACCTTTTGTTTGAATTAGTGTGGAATATCAAACATTAGGGTGTTCTTTCTTACGCAAAAGCTTTATAGAAGATCTTCCTTCTTTCTCTATTTGATGTTTCTTTCTTATGGCCTATGGTAATAGTAATAATACCCGTTTCCCTACAAGGAAACATTTGGCATTCACTGATCTAGCAGCCAGTACAGTTTTCGGTTAATTTTTTTTAAACCTTCAAACAGTTTTTCCGGAAGATAGATTTCTCAAATTCAGTAGCTGTTATCGCTCGTTCCAGTATCGATGGGGAGTTTCCTTCTAAACTTTTGTTTGAATCAGTGTGGAATGTCAAATATCAGGGTTTACTTTCTTACGCAATAGCTTTGTAAGATCTTGTTTCTTTCTCTGTAAGATGTTATATCTTTGTTACGGCCTATATCAATGGTAATAATAGCTGTTTTCTATTAAGAAATATTTAGCATTCACTGACTGAGCAGATAGTACCGTTTTCGGTGAAAATCTATAAAATCTTAAAATATTTTTTCAGGAAGATAGACTTCTCAAGCTCAGTCGTTGTTATCGCTCTTTTCAGCATCGATGGGGAGTTTCCTTCCCGACCTTCTGTTTGAAGTAGTGTGGAATATCAAACATCAGGGTTTGCCTTCTTAGGCAATAGCTTCTTTCTCTGTTTGATGTTATTGTTGCAGTTTTTTGTGTATATATATGTACTAGTTAGTTAGTCAAAATGCCTTGACTCACTTTATAGTCCACCAATAGAAGGGTAACCAATCAGAAGACGTAGAACATTCAATCCATCTTGTATGAAGGCGGCCATTTTGTTTACCCTACCAAAATGTCTAGTTCCAGCTTGTGAAGCGAAGAGAAACAGAAGGACGAGCTACGCTCTGCTACTTTTACCAAAATATCCACTGCTAACCTGAACAAAGCTTTTCTACTGTCTTCGAAATATTCACTGCTAACCTCTGGATTCTATACTCAAGACGACCGTCATTATGAACAACAGTTATATCTTTGTTACGGCCTATGGAAATGGTAATATTAGCCGTTTCCCTATAAGGAAACATTTGGCATTCATTAATCAAGCATCTAGTACTGCTTTCGGTTGAAATTTATAAAATCTTTCTCTTGAAACAATTTTTCAGGGAAACAGGTTTATCAAGTCCGGTAGCTGCTATCGTTCTTTTCAGTATCGATGAGGTTTCAATCCCTAACCTTGTATTTGAAGTAGTGTCAAATAGTCAGTATCTTGTTTATATAGGTTGGTCACTGAAACACTGAAGGATTTGAAAAGTCATAACTTGTTCGTTTTCATTTTTTTATTTATTTTATTCTGTTTGCATATTTTAGAGCATCCATTTGAGATTAAAATGGCTACGTATGATATCCAGCAAGGTGCAAAACTCTTCATTTTTCTTTGTTTTGTTTTTTTCCAATAAAAGACCAATTATTCAAATTCAGAGAAAATACCGGCAGCACTTTAATGTCAGAGCATCTCCGAGCGATAACATGATTCAGAACCAAATTAAAAGAAGTGGATCAGTCGACAATCTTCCGGGAAGAGGTCCTAAGCGCACTGAGCTCACTGACTCAACGGCGGAAGCTGTACAGCAGAGTGTTCTTGAGGATCCATCAGCTTCTACCCGCCGTCGCTCTGCTTAACTAGAACATCGCTACAGAAACTGGATTTAAAAATGTTTCCATACAAGCTTCAAATGATTGAAACTTCAGTACCCCAAGATACTCATCAGCGCTTGCAGTACGCCATTCGATTTCAACACACAGCCAGAGATAAAAAAAAAATACTTAATGAACAACTTGATAATGACTGTTGCGGTCCATTTTCATTTAAACGGGTACGCCAAAAAGTAAAATTATAGATTTTGGGGTACCGAGAATCCAAGAAAATTACATCAGCATCGATTGCAACCCCCAAAATGCACTGTTTGTTGCAGTGTTATGGTTGAGAGAGTTTTCGGTACTATTTCTTTGAAAATGAAGGTTAACCAGAAAGAATCAACAGGGCTCTGTATATGACAATGCTTGAAATTATTTTGATGCAAAGCGGTCTAAGATAATTACAAAGCCAAGGCAACAAAAGACGTCCTGCGAGAAATAAACGAATAATTTTCAAAAATTGCTGAATTTGCCCCCCCACCCTACACACAGCCTTCAGCTGATTTGATGGCACCAGACTTCTTTTTGTGAGGCTGCAGTAAGAACGGGTTGACGTAAAAAAAAAACAAAAAAAAACTGGAACAATTCAAGAACTTAAAGGGAAAATGCGAGCTGAATTCTAACGTTTTTGACTGGAGACCTTCCGTACGGCCATGAAAAACGCTTTGGAAATAGCCTGTATTTGTGAACGGAATAATGATGTTCATTTAAGGGATGTTGTTTTTCACACGTAATACTGAAAAAAAAAAATCTATTAATTATATTTTCAAACAAAATAATAAAAAAAATTAAAAATAGATGTTTGTAAAATTTATTTGCGTTTTATATCATTCACTCTTTTCAGCGGCTACCTATGTATCATTTTTTTCTCTTCGAGTTGCATGTGCTAGCCATTTTATTTGTTGCTGCTTTTGGTAGTCCTCGAGTGATGCGGGTTCTGTTATTTGGTACACTTCTTTGTTCGTGATTCTGTAGCGCCAGTCCACAATGTTCAAAGAAGGATGACCTTTGCCCAGACCACCAGGCCTTACGCTCTCAACGCCTTTATTTCAACATTGATCTTATGCTTTTACAGCTGACAGGTTACTTATTTCTGAACGGGTTTGGCTCCATGCATGTCATCCATATGAAGGTATGGATCTGATGAAAGTACTTATGAATATGACTCGAGTTTTCAGGTTGATGTTTTCTTTTCGCAGCAATTTGCGGTTTTTGTGCGTTAACAGCCTCCTGCACTGCCTATTCTCTGTTTATTTCCTTTCCTCCTATACTTAACTTTTATATCATATCCATACGCCGAGTTATCGGAAGTAAAATTCTGAAATTAGTTTTTACCCAAAAAATCTGCGGCTTTTTGGTATTTCCGTATGATGTTTTTTTTCTTTTTTTCTT